CTCTGTCTCTCTCAAAATAAATGAATAAACTTAAAAAAAATTTTTTTTAATTTAAATCTTAGATCCAGTTTTCTTACAGGAAAGTCTATAATTGCCTCTATTGTATGTGGTTTATCTTCTGTCTTCCAGTTTCCCTTCTTTCCTGCCATTCTCCCCTGTTCATGAACAGAGCCTCAGGGGCCTCATTACGTATCATATAGCCCAGCTCATTCTCACCAGGGTGTCCGTTCTTGCTGTCCTCATTAACTTCCTTCTCCCTCTACCAGGAGTATTCTCCTGACCATTTCCCTTTCATCTTTCAAGTCTCAGCTGACTGTTACCTTCTTAAAATGGCCTTCCATGATCCTATTTGAGGAGTGAGCACCTATAATATCATCCTGTTTGTTTCCTTCCCACCATTTATTACTTTCTACATTGTTTTGTTCATTTATTACCTCTTTTATTCTTTCTTTCTTTCTTTCTTTCTTTCTTTCTTTCTTTCTTTCTTTCTTTCTTTCTTTCAAGAGGGAGAGAGAGCACACACCAGCATGGGACAGGGGCAGAAGGAGAGAGGGAGGATCTTAAGTAGGCTCAGCACAGAGCTTGACGTGGGGCTCTATCCCACAACCCTGGGATCATGACCTGAGTGGAAATCAAGAGTTGGACACTCAACCAACCGAGCCACTCAGATGCCCCTGTTCTTTGTTTCTAACCACTAGAATAGAAGCTCTGTGAAAGTAAGGCCTTGTCTACCTTGCTCACCACTGTGTCTGCTATCCTCAGAACAATGCCTCTCATATAACAGGTCCTTGCTAAATGAGACTAAACACATTGAGATAAAGAGGATAGATTTGAGAGAAATTGGGGGTGGAGTAAAATGCAGAGGACCAGGTGATGGATTGGATCTGGAAAATGACAGAAAGGGAGGTGCAGAGCATAAGTCATGGGGCCCTGGGTTACAAAACAGTGTAGTCTGTAGTGATGTTTGCTGGATCTGGGGACACTAAAAAAAGATCTGATTTGTGGGGCATAGTATGGGGCAAAGAAAGAGGTGGGTCTTAAACATGTTGAGTGTGAGGTGCCTTTGCTGTATCTTAATGGAAATGTCATGTGATAAGTTAGCTGGAAGTTTACCTGGTCTTCCCACTTCAACCTTTGCCAGCCCACAGCCTTTTCTAAAGTTTAGCAGCCAGACTGAACTCTGGCTTTACTTGTCTAAAAGGTTAAATCCCATTAGATCCTGTTACTCTCTTATTCAAAACTTTCAAGAGGTTTCCCATCTCACCCAGAGTTAAAGCCAAAGTAATTGGAATCACATGCAAGGTTTTGTTCTGTCTGGTTTCCATTGCTTTCTTGACCTTATATCCTGCTCTCTCTCTTCTAGCCACATTGGCCTCCATGCTTTTTCTCAGATATATCTGTTGTGCCTCAGAGTCTCTGTACTAAATGACCTCAGATACCCACATGGCTCCATTCAGGTGTTTGAGGAGATGTCACCTTTACAACAAAGCATCAGCATTAGTGGGCATCTAAATTCTGAGGGGCCCCAGTCTGTGATGTGGGGTGACTTTCTACAGCAATGCTCTGACAGCAACAGAGAATGTGAGGAGTGGGGCTGGTCCAAGATTGGACTTTCACTTAGGAAGATTTGATGAAGAGACAGGGGCAAATAGCTGGGTAAGAAAAGAAGTGAAGCAAGGGAAAGACTGATGGACTGAGAAGGCAGGAGGTCCATGGATTAGTTTGTCTTAGTCCATTTAGGTTGCTATAACAAAAGTGCTATTTACTAAGTAACTTATTTAGAACATAACATTGTTTCTCATGGTTCTGAAGGCTGGAAAGTCCAAGATCAAGGCACCAGTAGGTACAGTGTCTGGTGAGGTCCTTCTTCTTGGTTCTTAGATGGCCATCTTCTCACTGTGTCCTCACATGGCAGGGGGTGCTAGAGAGTTCTGTGGGGCCCCTTTTAGAAGGGCACTAATCCCATTTCTGAGGGTTCCACCCTTACCATACCATCATCTTGGGGGTTAGGATTTCAAATATATGAATTTGAGGGGGGAACAAACCTTCAGTCATAATAGGGTCTTAACAAGGTCTTGGCATGGTTAAAAATGAGAGTAGGTAAACAAGAAGGCTGGAGGGAAAAGTAGATTGTGACCGTTAATAATTCATGTGTTGGGGAGGCTGGGTGGCTCAGTTGCTTGAGCATCCAGTTCTAGATTTCAGCTCAGTTCATGATCTCAGGGTCCTGAGATAGAGCTCCATGTCGGGCTCCGTGCTGAGCATGGAGCCTGCTTGGGATTCTCTCCCTCCCCCTCCCTCTGCTCCTCCTTTGCTCTTTCTCTCACTCTCAAAAAAATAAAAATAAAAATAAATAAAAAAATTTAAAGGTAGATCATTAATTACCTTTCTAAAGAATGATCATTCATGTGTCAGTGCTATATTTGTTGACTATTGTTTGTGCTATGCAATAAAATTCAGCTGTAGGTATTTTGCATTAAAGGACTCTTATGTTCAGGGGTGCCTGGGTGGTGCAGTCAGTTAAGCATCCAACTCTTGATCACAGCTCAGGTCATGATCTCACGGTTTGTGAATTCGAGCCCCACATCAGGCTCTGCTGTGATGGTGCAGAGCCTGCTTGGGATTCTGTTTCCTTCTCTGTGCCCCTCCCCGACTTGTGCGCTCCCTAGTGCACATCTCAAAATGAATAAACGTTAAAAAAAAAAAAAAAAGATTCATGTTTAGAGGGAAGTCCACTAGTCATAAGATCAATTTGTGCAAAACTTTGTAGATGTTTGTGTCAAAATTTGTTCTTTTCTTTAGGATATAGGATGAGTTTGCACTCGGTGTTACAAAATTTATATTTCATGTTGTTATAATAATATATTTTTCTCTTTTCTCAAGTTTTTTCCCAAAAATATATAAAACAGCTCTGAATGCAAAACAAATTAGCTTTTTTCCATAATCCTGTTTCATTACAAATATGTTTCTAAAGATAGGTGTATTCCTGTCTTCAGGAATCACTAATCTTGTCTTTTTTCCCTAGTAGAATTTGCTTTAACATGCCCTGCTTATCCTTTAACCAGATAAAATAAATAAGAGATCTAGAAAATTTTCTAAAGGAATATTTAGTGGATATGAATGATGATAAAAGCATATTAGCTCTGATGCTCACTTAGATTCCTGGGGTGTAGCTACATATTTTGTTCATATTTCCAGTTTCTTAGCTTCTACATTCTTGTTTCCTTTTTGTCAAAGTATGTTTTCTCACTCAAGCTAAAATGGTGCCAAAATGAAGCAAATATGTGATCTGAAATAGACATTGTCTCTGAAATTTTATTTACATTTTTAAATTTAAGTAATTCTGGCCTTGGTGGAGAAAACATATTTGGCCCCCCAAACCATCTAACCATAGTTGTGTAAGGGTCAATGGAAACATTGTGGAATTTAAAAATTCAGTCCAGGTTTTTTTCTTTACAGGAGAGTTAATGGAGAATTTAGTCCCCCATCCTGAATTCAAGATGCTGGGTATTCGTAACATTCCTCAGATGTCTGAGAACTCACTGGCTTACAGTACATTTACTTGGGCTGGCCTCCTCAAGCACCTGAGACAGATGCTCATTTCTAATTCGAAAATGGAAGAAGGTAACGGGTATTTTAAAAACATGCAAGCCACAAACTGGGAAAAGAGCCTGCACTGGAGTTCTCAGTATAAACTGGCTTGGGCGAGTTGAAATAATGGTGACTTCTGGTCAGGGAGGTTCCTGCAAAAACTTACCAGGACATCCCAGGAGGACTGCTTAATCACTGCACAGTTTCATTAACCAAAAATGAAAAAAATTTTCAGAGGAGTTTAACATTTTTTTAAGTTTTGTTGATTGATTGATTGATTGATTGATTTTTAGTAATCTCTGTACCCAACAGGGAGCTCGCACTCATTACTCTGAGGTCAAGAGTCGCACACTCAATTGACTGAGCCAGCCAGGTGCCCCTATTTTATTTTATTTTTATCAAAGTAATATATGAACATAATATTTAAAAAATCAGGGGCACATGGGTGGCTCAGTTGGTTAAGCGTCCGACTTCACCTCAGGTCATGATCTCACGGTTTGTGAGTTCAAGCACTGCGTTGGGCTCTGTGATGACAGCTCAGAGCCTGGAGACTGCTTCAGATTCTGTGTCTCTGTCTCTCTCTGCCCCTCCCCTACTTGCGCCTCTGTCTCTTCTCTCTCTCAAAAATAAGTGAACATTAAAAGAAAAAAAATTTGTTTAAAAGATCAAATAGTCTGGGGTGCCTGGGTGGCTTAGTTAAGCATCCAACTTTGGCCCAGGTCACGATCTCACGGTTGGTGAATTCGAGCCCCACATCAGGCTCTGTTGCTGACAGCTTGGAGCCTGGAGCCTGCTTCAGATTCTGTGTCTCCCTCGCTCCCTGCCCTTCCCCCACTCATGCTCTGTCTCTTTCAAAAATAAATAAATATTAAAAAAAAATTTTTTTTTAATCAAATGGTCAAGGGGCACCTGGGTGGCTCACTTGGTTAAGCATCCGATTCTTGATTTCAGCTCAGGTCATGATCTCACGGTTTGTGAGATGAGCCTCTCGTCGACAGCACCAAGCCTGCTTATGTAGGATTCTCTCTCTCTCTCTCTCTCTGTCTCTCTCTGCCCCTCCTCAGCTTGTGCACACACACTCTCTCTCTCTCAAAATAAATAAATAAACTTAAAAAAAAATCAAATAGTCAAAACTCATCTAAGTGTATACTTATATCTTTACTTTGCATTGTATGTAAATCATATCTCAATTTTTTTAGATAAAGCCAAGTAATTGTCCAGTATGTATTTATAATGAGGAAAAGAGCAGCTCCCTGGCCTATACTTCCCCACTACCCAGATGAAAACACTGTCAATGGTTTTGGCTGTCTCTTCTGGAATTTGCCTCCATATTTCTAAGTATCTTGCTTGTATTATTACTTATTTTGTGTTCTAGGTTTAGATATTACCAATTGCCTTCCTAATGTGAAATTGAGAATTGAATCTTCTTATACCACTGCTATACACACACACACACACACACACACACACACACACACACACACACACACACACACACACACATGCACGAGAAGTCTCACGTCAATCTGATTCCTAATCCTGTTTTGTTTTCTCTTGGATCTTTTAGGATTTCCTTTTTGTCCCTGGAATTCTGTAATTCCTTAATGTGGATCTTTCATTGAGCTTAGTAGAATGTAAGCTTTATTAGGGCAGGGATTCTGTTTTGTTTACTGTTGTGCCTTCAGAGCCTGGAACGTAGGGCCCAGCAGGTAGTTTTACTGAGGCCAGAGCCTGACTGGTTTAGCCTTTCTGGAGCAGAAGCCTTTTAGGATGAAGGGGGGGCACTCCCTCTGCTGCAGGGAGTGGGGAAGGGTCTAGGGTTCTCACCACTTCTCATACAGATTTTTATTTTTATTTATTTATTTTTAAGTTTATTTTATTTTTGAGAGAGAGCATGAGTAGGAGAGGGGGAGGGGAGGGGCAGAGAGAAATAGGGGACACAGGATCCGAAGTGGGCTCTGTGCTGACAGCAGCAAGCCTGATGTGGGGCTTAAACTCATGAACCGTGAGATCATGACCTGAGGTGAAATTGGGCGGATGCTCCACCAACTGAGCCACCCAGGTGCCCCTCATACAGATTTTTAACTAAATCCTCTTGTTTCCTCCTCTTTTAGAAGTGGCTGGCCTGCTCCCAGGACCTCTCCACTGTGGGCAGACATTCTAAGCTTCCCCTGCTTGCTAAGTCAGTCACCACTGATTCATTTGCTTTCCAGATTCCAAAGTTTTTTTGCTATTGTCTCCTCTTCTCTTCCCTTTTTTCTTGTTTATGACAAGCTGATGTTCAGTCTGTCATGTCTAACTAGAAATCACCACTATGTATTATTTTAGTAGCATATATTTTACCACAAATAACAACAATTTAGGTTTCAATAATATGAAAGTGGATTTCTTCTACATTTACTTACTAGTGAAACCTTATAGATTTTAGATTATAGTGTCTGAGGTTTGAAGATAAATAGAAAGTTCACATCTTAAAGTAATGCTTCCCCAATTTTTTGGCCTCAGTACCCGTTTTTCTAGTAATACCTGTTAATATCTCAAGGAACACACTGTTTCTCAGAGTATATGCTGCTTTGAACTCTCTTAGGTCAGTAAAACAGTTTGCTTAGTCATTTTCTCATGCGGGACTCTGAGTGTCAACATTTCTTCATAGTTATAGGTAGAGCTTTGAATGTATAAATATCTTCATATATGTGAAGATATATGAATAAGTATATTTGTGTACTAACCAGGTTGAAACAAATAGCTTTAAAAATCTTTGTATATTACCAGACGACTCCATCTGAAGATTGACCCTATTAATATCACTATCAGCCATGTATCTGTTTCCATATGTCCTAGCAACAGAAGGAATGAGTGATCCCAGAGGGAGCCAGGCAGAAGTTACAGTGTCTTTTATGACTTAGCTTTGGAAGTCACATGCCATCTTTTTTATTTTTTTATTTTTTTTAGTTTTAGTTTTATTTATTTTATTTATTTTTTAATGTTTATGTATATATTTGAGAGAGAGAGAAAGACAGAAGGCAAGTGGCGGAGGGACAGAGAGAGAGGGAGACAGAATCCGAAGCAGGCTCCAGGCTCTGAGCTGTCAGCACAGAGCCCGACACGGGGCTCGAACTCATGAACCATGAGATCATGACCTGAGCTGAAGTCAGACGCTTAACCAACTGAGGGACCCAAATGTCCCTTTTTATTTTTTTAAAGTTTATTTATTTTGAGAGAGAAACTCACACACACACACACACACACACACACACACACACATACACACACACACAAGCAGGGGAGGGGCAGAGAGAGAGGGAGGGAGACACTCTGCACTGTCAGCACAGAACCCTCTGTGGGGCTCCATCCTACTCACTGTGAGATCATGACCTGAGCTGAAATCAAGAGTCGGATGCTTAACGGACTGAGCCCCCTAGGTGCCCCTAGTTTTATTTTTACTTAAGTAATCTCTACCCACAATGTGGGGCTTAAACTCATGATCCTGAGATTAAGAGTCACATACTCTTCTGACTGAACCAGTCAGGTGCCCCCACACGACATCATTTCTATACCATCCTTTTGGTTATTAAGGTCAGCCCTATGCATGTGGGAGGGGACCATACAAGGGCTTCAGTATCAGAGGGAAGATCAGTGGCATTCACCTTGGAGGCTGGCTACCACTCCACCCTCTGTCCCCTACTAAATCACGTCTTCCCATATGGAGAATAGACCTAACCCCTCCCAAAGGCTTCAAAAGTTATTTCTGTATAGCACATCAAGCTAAATTCCAGAATCTTATCATCTAAAAGCAGGTCCAGGTATGGTGGATTTACACTCCTCAGGTGAGATTTTTTTTTTTTTTTTTATTTTTTTTTTAAATTTTTTTTTTTTTTTTCAACGTTTATTTATTTTTGGGACAGAGAGAGACAGAGCATGAACGGGGGAGGGGCAGAGAGAGAGGGAGACACAGAATCGGAAACAGGCTCCAGGCTCTGAGCCATCAGCCCAGAGCCCGACGCGGGGCTCGAACTCACGGACCGCGAGATCGTGACCTGGCTGAAGTCGGACGCTTAACCGACTGCGCCACCCAGGCGCCCCATCAGGTGAGATTTTTTGAGTATAGCTCTTTGAGTACAGTTCTTCCCCCTGCCTCCAATCAGTAGACCATGGTGGACCAGGCATAGCATAACTGGTAGACAGCCCCCTTAAAAAGGGGGAAATGGAAGGCACAAAGAAGTCATGGGTCCATAACAATTCAGCAGGGCACATCCTGGCAGTCTCCTGATGAAAATATAAGACATGGGAATAATTTTTCATGGCTTTGGCTTAGCTCTTTGAGTCAAGCTAAATTATAATTTTGTTTGTTTGTTTGTTTGTTTGAAGTAAACTCTACCCCCAACATGGGACTCAATATCACAAACCCAAGATCAAGAATTGCATGCTTGGGGCACCCTGGTGGCTCAGTTGGTTAAGTGCCTGACTCTTGATTTTGGCTCAGGTCATGCATAATCTCACAGGTTTGTGAAATCAAGCCCTGTGTGGGGCTCTGCACAGACAGTGTGGAGTCTGCTTGGGATTGTCTCTCTCCCCCTCTCTTTCTACTCCTCTTCCACTCTCTCTCTATCAAATATAAATAAGTAAACTTAAAAAAAAAATAAAAATGGGGTACCTGGGTGGCTTAGTCGGTTGAACGTCTGACTTCAGCTCAGGTCATGATCTCATGGTTCATGAATTCGAGCCCTGCATCATCAGGCTCTGTGCTGACGGCTCAGGCTTTGAGCCGTCAGCACAGAGCCTGAGCCTACTTTGGATTCTGTGTCTCCCTCTCTTTTTGCTCCTCCCCCACTCACACTGTCTCTCAAAAATAAACGTAAAAATTTAAATAAAAGTGGCAACACATTATATGTATTTTTTGCTCTATAGCTTTTTTTCAATATAACAATATTTTGTGGACTTCTTTCCAATTCATTAAATTTGGACATGCCTTATTCTTTTTAATGGCTACATAGTTTTCTACTATATATGTGTCATAATTTATTATGTGCACA